TTCATCGTCTTGCGACTCTTCGTCATCGTCAGAATCAAAGACATCCCGTCGCGCCTTAAAAACAACAATGAAATACATATATCAATTAGAAAGAGAACTCGAGATAGAAGTAAAAAAGAAGAGAGAGAAAACCTTAGCAATGAGGTCCTCTGTCTCGTGTTGATTCTCTACCGCTTTCTCAACATGCTGTTGGGAACCAGATTGTTGTTTTGCTCTCTTCCAATGTTGATCTGCATTGTTGTTTTCTTTTAAAGAGGTGGACCTACTCTTTCTCTTGTTGGTCTCAGGAATTCTGGCAAGAAGCGCCTCATGATCTCCACTTGTAGAATCACCCTGGTCAACAACTGTCTCTTTGCCTCTCGAAGATATCATGTTCGTCTTTGATGCAAGCAAATCCTCTATATGGCGCTCAAGATAGCCTCCATGAACTTGATGCCACCATGACTTATAAGCTGGTGTTGATTTCTTTGCATTTGTTGAGGCACAAGGTAACGAAGCTTTGGAAAAGGATCCGCATAGAACGCTCTGTTGCCAGTAGTAAATTCCATCGTTAAGAGAGCCCTCGCGAAAGTCTTTCTTCAAAGTGTCGGGAACATCTTGATAAAACCCAAATTGGCGACTGAATTGATGAGGACTATACGGCTCAATGAAAAAGCGACTGCCTTGACGCCACGTAAGGTAGTTAGACCGAATCGCCATGAAGTACCTCCATTCGTATCTAGGTCTTCGTTGATCATCGGCGTATCGGGAAGTATGGTCTTTGATGATGATATTGCAAGTCCATGAGGCGGAGTCTCCCTTGTGGATACGTCTGCGGGCTTCTTCGGGGTCAAAGTGTCTTGCGCCGTTCTCACCGGAATATGTCACCATCAAGGGCTTGTGCGTTTGACCAATTGTGAAGTGAGTTCTAAAGTAAATCGCCAACCAGCTGTAAACGAAGTGGACGGGAAATGTCGATCGAGACGGACTTTTGTAGCTTGTAAGCTCGTTCAGCCCCTTGTAGATGTTCGTCAAGACCGGAACCGCAAGGCCAACTAAATAACCCTTGGCCATCATGCTTGCCATCTTGAAGGTGCCTGGGCGAATTATGTCGACGTCGTCGTTGGGAAGGACAAACGTGCATATCCAACATGAGAGTCACACCGCTAAGTGAATTTCTTCTTGCAGCTTTAGCTCGATCACAGCCATCTTCTTGAACAATTGATCTTCGGCGGAGGTCCAGCGTCGATGTTCTTCAAAAGTGCCGGGCGGATTATGAGTTAACTTGAGGCGAATGATCCTCTTCTTCTCTCTGTTCCTCTTGTCAACACGATTAGGAGGTTGTCTGTATTTGATAGCATTCTTCGACCAAAAATGCACCCATCGATCAATTGACACTTGTCCACCGTCGGATTCTTTGCACAGTAGATGATAGGCGTGGAAGAGGTATCGGCAGCAGCGAGGAAGGCACAAATTATTATCTTTGTTGGTCCCTACCAGCTCATTTGCATCCGGCACCACCTCGTCAAAGATGAACCCACTCAATGGAAGTCCATTTTTAATGGGCCAAATGAAACTTAACTTAGTTGAGTTTTGGGTTTAAGCTTTGTTGCTTTAAAAGTGGGCTTTAAGTTTTGAAATTGGCCCAGCCGTATAGCCAAATCAAAGAAGTCGCGACTTACTCACTCCAAGACACGTTGTCCGTGAACAAGTCTTGAGTGGGCATTTGTAGATACATAAAAATTTTGTCCAATCAAATCGCGCCACGTGGAAATTAATTTATTAAAAAT